AAGCAAAGCTGTAATTCTTTCTCTTGTAAGTTTCAAGTGGACATCAAAACACTCCTTCATTGTGTTTGTGTTTATTTGTTTCTTTCAAGAATTAAGGTTTTACCCACAAGAGTGAGCTAGTTGGTAGGAAGATATGTTCTTTATCTTAATCATTTGAATTCGATTTACTTTTAGAGTAAAACTATAAGTACCTGATAGAAATTATCTACTCCATCCGATCCGTTCTGGGTTCAAATCGGGTGTTAGGCTTTATACTATCACAGATGAGAAATGAAAATAATTGAAAAAGTTGGATTCAATTGTCAACTACTCTCAGCGGATGATGTATGAAAATCTGTTCTTGAAATTGTCTGAAGAAAAAAATTAGTCTTTATGTGAAAAGCAATCAACTTCAACATACTTTTCTCAAGGAAAAAGTCTAGAGTTGCATGTTTTGGACCAGGGTGTCTGATTCTCATCTCTTTCAAAATTTACAAAAGCTTTCTGAGGATATTGATAGGAAAAGTAATTACTTGCCCCACAGTTGATTACAGAGAGATTTTACTTTTCCCTCCATTCATTAATTTTAACAGTTCATTACAGACAGAGTAAATTTTTATATATTTGAATTTAAAAATAGAGACAAATTAAATATATTCAAAAGTTTAATAAGTTTATATAAGATATACAAAAGAACAAAACCAAATGATTATAGAAAATTAACGCAATATTTTTGTACTTCATTCTATGTCATACCCAAGAATCAAGAGCATATTATGAAGAACACAAGAACATTGGACAAAGTTACATTTACCCCCATATCTTTGTTATCCGGGATCTTGGACGTGAAACCAGTAAAGGAGAAAATAAAACATTTAGATTGAAAGGGGAAGAAGGGTGAGAAGGTAGATTGAGAGAAAAATGGAACAAGTCCACAGACTATGCCTTGTATAATTTTATTAGCTTGTTCTTGATTGATTCCAGCACATTTCTCACTGCAACATAATGTCTCAGTTCTGCCAAGTTTTATTGATTTTCTATGTAGACGTGGCGAATATGAGCAATCTTATACCAATCCTGACTCAGATGATCTGCTATCCTAAAAGTGAACTCGGCTGGCATGTCTTGCAATTTGAGTTCACGGAGAGTTTCTACGTACTGCAGTGCATCAGGAAGCATCTTAAGATTTTGACAGCATCTTATTTCCAAATCTTTAAGCACAGCCAATCCTCCTTCCTCAACAACAAATTCCTCCAGCACCTCCAGCTTCCAGAATTTGAGCACTCGAAGCTTTTTGAATCCATTTGCAGAGCAAATCATTCTCTTTCCCAAGTAGGAGTTGGAGAGCAGTCTTAGAATTTCAAGATTGGGAAGCTGAGCCAATGCTTGCATTGGATCTTGCATTAGTCCTGATGCTGATAAGGTGATCTCAACAAGGCTTGGTGGGAATTTTGATATAACTTGTTGATGCTTCAACTCACCGAGTAGATATATGGTGGAGAGGTTGTTGTGCCTTGACAAACACTCAACATGAATATTCCATGGTTGATTGAATTCATCAAATGATTTCAGTCTCAGATACTGAAGATATCTTAGTTTTGATACCCAATTTGCAACAGCATCCAACTGTGATAACATTGGCTCTTGCTGAGAGGATGTTAACCTGCTTGACAATCCCAATTTTCTAAGGTTGATCAATGTGTCCAGGCCATTGGTAACTGGACTCTCCTCATCGACAAATACACCACATAGGGTTTGGAGATTGGACGAGGGTTGGCCCCTTGGACGAGGAACAAATTTGCCTCGATGAGTCTCGTTCAAGAATAAATGTCGCAGCTGCTTCATGTTCCAGATGGAAGTAGGAATCATATTGATGCATGTATGTTTAAGATCAAGAGTTTGGAGGCTTAGTAATTTGTTGATGAAGGAAGGAAGCATCTCTAAGCAGGTCCATCTCAAGCCTAGGTACCTTTAGGAGAAGAAGTTTACCAATTGCCTTTGGAAGTTTTGGCTTGAAGACATTTTCTAGGTCCAACACATGCAAATAATGGAAGTTCATACTAGAAATGCATCGGTCAAGGAAATTCCCTATGTCTTCGCCAGGCTTGCTTCCTTGTCTGGTATCGAATGATAAGAATGAGATGGTATCTCTGTAAGAATGAAGAGAAGTAGTGTGGCGGGTGCCGTGGATATGAGCAAAGCTGGGATCACTGTGATCAAGATGATCAGCAAGACGTCGTATAATGCCCACAGGTTGCAAGGGATTAACATTAGTCCTCGTGTGAAGAAAGTTAGCTTCCTTAGCTTTGGATAACCAGTGGACTCGCAGAGCATGTGGTAGGCGACAGGCTTTAACTTTTCCATTAAGCTTCTTTTTTGACACTTGAACCATATTTCGGTTGACTAATTCCATTAAGCATCTCTCAGAGAAATACTCAAGAGGTTGATACTCACTCTTTTGAGGCACCAGTCCTTCTGCAACCCACAGCACAATCAATCTTCTTGCTGGGACCTCAAAATCTTGTGGGAATAACCCGAAATAAAAGAGTAATCGCCTTAGGTACAATGGAAGATTCCTGTCGAGCTTGTGCAAGATCTGTGACCAGGGTCTGTCATCTAGAATGAACTCGTCAAGTGCCCTTGACCATGACTGTACAGTTGCATCAGCATGTGAAAGCAGATGTCCTAAACTCACTATGGCCAGCGGCAGACCTCCACATTTTCTAACTACTTCCCCTTTAAGTCCTAGCAGCTCGGTGGACATGTTAACCTTCAAAGTATGAATAAACAATGCCCAGCTCTCATCATCTGTTCGAAGATGCAGCCTGTATACGTGGTTCCTCTCAGGGACATCTTCCGAGGTTTCCTTTATTTGGCGAGAAGTGAAAATTATCCTGCTACCATTTGATGTTTCATCGAATATCCTTATTAGTTCATCCCGGAGACTTTCTCTAAGATGAGATGATCGTTTACAATCATCAGAACTTGCTTCATCAAAAATGATAAGTGATTTCTTCTCCATCAAGAAAGTACTTAACATCTCTCCCGTCCTGCGGTCATACCTACCCCACCTCACAATCCTCTTTTGTTTCCAAAGTTTGACACTTGTTACTTTTTCTACGATGTCTTCTAAGGTCATGAAAGGGTCATAAGGTACCCAAGCACGGAAAGGGAAATTGGCTGCAGTAGCATGATGGTGATATATTAGCTTTGCAAGGCATGTTTTACCAATACCTGCAGCACCTACAATCGAAATAGATTGGCTTCGTGCATCGTCTTTGAGTAACACCTCCATAATTGCATCAACATCATCCTCAAATCCCTCAAGAGCTGGTTCCTCAGGCACAAATGAAGCTGTTGATCTTCGCGGAGTCTGGCTTACAGTCCATGGAGAATCTTGATAGGCTCTTCTAACGGCACTATGTCTTCTTTCAAAGACCTTTCCAATCTTAGCTCGGATCTCCAGCATGTCCTGGTGAAGTCTGGCTTGCGAGCTGAAATTATGTAATGGCAAAACAAAAGTTGTGAAGGGTCCTCTCCAATTCCTCCTCAGCTGCTCTCTTCTGCTCAAGAAGCACCCAATAACATCATCTGTTGAGCGGCATACATCACATAGTTCCTCCATCCATTCTTCCTTCAATCGCTCTGGTTCAACATCCTTCAAGACGCTTGAATGGACCTTAAGTCATCTCTCAGCATCTAGCTTGCTTCCTCACAGCAGGCTACTTTGATCTTCTGTAAGTAGCAGACTTTTCACTTTCCTTAAAACAGGATCAATTACTGTGTGCCCAACATCCAGCTCCTCCCGAGTTATGGTGCTTAACCATAACCCAGATTGGAAAATAATCTGGTACACGATTTTGATCTCGATCTTAATCTGCTCTAATCTTCTTCCCAGTTTGTATCTGTCTATCAAATCAATGACAGAGAAAACAAACCTCATGACAAGTCCTCTGCTCCTTCTGTGTGCTGATTTCAGCATCAAGGTCTCTAGGATGTCTTCTATGTCATACATGACATTTCTTAAGCGCTTTCTGTCAAGCACATTTCCTGAGAGATCAAAAGAGTCTCGGAGCTGCTTCTCAATCCATTCCAGATGAGCTTCTTGTCCCAGTAATGGAACTGATTCATTCAGCAGCAAACAGGAAAGCTTTTCTCTAACAGAGGATGCAATTCTAACCTCCATGTCTGCAATTTCGTCTTGATCTTTTAGGCAATGGAAAGCAAAGCCAAATTCAAACTGTGAGCAATGGAAGAAAAATGCTTAGAACAAAAAGGTAGTGAAACTTCTCTTTTGTACTCTTTGCAGTGCATAAACTTTCCTTACTCTATGCAGCAGCAAGAGAGTCTCAAGTACTTTTTTCATGTTGTTAAGCAGTAGGAAACTGCAATTCTCCATTAATCTTTCCTTGAAGCTCAGTCTTCCTTCTCCATAATTGCCCGGAAGCTTCATCTTTCTCTTTTTCTTGAGAAATTTTGAAAGAATATAATTTTCCAAACTTGTGGAAAATTGTAAACTGCTCACCAAAACTCCAATACAAATCATCACATAATGACTTGGCAAGGGTCGTCAGAGCAGAGAAATTATGCCTGATTTATTTAATTTTCTTGAAGAAAATATTGAGGACCAAAAAGGGGAAAAAAGACGAGGAAAAAAAATAGAAAACTGTAATTTCTCATATTTCTAATTCATATTTCATAACCCTAAGAAACAACCGTCGGTTAAATTCATCACTGAACCATAAAGTGAACCCACCATTAAACTACATCATAACACAATGAAGCATCTCTGTCACTTTCCCTCTTGACTTGACAGAGTCATGAGTCGTTACTAAAACATTGATGTGTCTAATGAAGAACATTTTTATCAATGACCCACAAAAAGTAAAAAAAGAAAAACTTGCTACAATTGACTAATGAAGCTCGTGTAAGTCAATTCATTAGGTAAATGGAGAAATGGGAATTCTTTTAGGTAGAGTAATACAGAGAAAAGCATATCTTATAGCAGCCACAAATGGTGGAGACCACCAAAGCATCTTCCTTGTCTTTTTTGGTTGATTTCATATGTATCTAAAATAAAGAAGAAACTACCAAAGTAAACAAAGGTATCATCTTTATTAGCCGGCTGACTTGGATGGTTAATAGGAAAGGGAAATGTGAAGCATCAATGGCTTTTTCCTTATATGAACCTACGAATATGAACAAAAGAGAAAAAGGGAAGAAAAAGAAACTTGCTCCTATTTCCAGATCACTTTCTTCGAAGTTTAGCTGCTAACCCTTCTGGGTTTTTGATGTTTTAGTTGATTTGTTTGATCCAGAGGAAGAAATATCAAATATCAAAGAAATTTCAATGGTTTTGTTCGATAAAACAAAAAACCTCAGGTTGTGGTTAGTAGAAACTCATACTTGTTGAGATATTAGTTAATTCAATTTTTGGAAAAATGGAAGAAAGTGAAGAGGAAAAATTGCAGAAAAAAAAAGGAGTTTTCTGCTGCTCGAAAAGTATTCAAATGACATACACTTCCTATTAATTTTATACATATATATATACAAAATGAATGAAAAAATTTACAAATTTTAACTAATACCAGAAGCTCCACTCTTATTGACAGTTGTTATCTAAAGCTGTCAATACCGGAAGAAAATAGTAAACATAAAGTTTAGAGTTGGAATGACAAAAAATTCAACTCCTTGTTTCATGGAAAACTCAATCTTCAACAATACTTTGCAGTATTAGATTGTAAATTACACAAAAATGTTCAGTTTTGTAGTTATGATGATAGCCTCTTCAGTTTGCTGCTCCAATTGAACATAAATTGAGCATTTGCTTTGATCAATTCATATTATCATTAGAAATTTGATTACATGATCTTGAATTTGACTGACTATGATTACAGCTTCCTGCTCCATCTGAACATAAATTGATTGATTTTAAGAGATGGTGGCAGCTCATAAGATGGATGATTCGTCGCTGCTCAAGTGTATCAACATAGCTTATGATTTCGGTAATTTTATCATTAGTTTTCTGTGGTAAATTTAGTTTGCAGAGATGATCAATCCCCAGTTCATAGTAGATAAAATTTTCTAGTAAAATGCTTAGCAACTGGAACTTATACTCCAACTCCAAAAAAGTTAAGGTTTTAACTTTCTGTCTTATACATGTTTTACTCTCTCCTCTTACATATGACAATAGTGGCTAGCTACTAAGACCACTGCTTAAACAAAAAATTCGTTTTTTTTTTTTACTGCTATAGCTAAGGAGCTTCAGTTCTTTCTTAACTTTTTATTTCAATGGACTTTCTGATAATAATTTGAAGAAATTCAAAAAAGGAAATAGTAGTAAAAATGTTTTTTTTTTTACCTCATTGGATGTCTGCTGCTTGTAGGGAGGCAAAAATGAAAGTAAATAGGGTAACTAGATCAAAGCAAAAGGTTCAAGAGCTTTTGAAATGTTTCTCCTTCTTTGGTAAATGTTAGGTAGCATGTGAAATTTAAGTGGTGGTGAGGCAGCAACTGAACTATCTCTTGTCCCTGAGGATTGCTGTAAGGATCACCAGTTCTTACAAGTTGCTCTAAATATTTTGGATTTCCAGGAGCACAACAGTAATTATAAGCTGCACAAGGAAACTTTTTTGTATCATTCCTGTGAATCTTTTTGTTGTCTCTGAGTAATATGGTATGGTGGACAGTTTTGCAATTCATTTGGGCTGCAACAAACTGGATCATCTTGCTATACCTGGTTACATCTGTGAGTACATCTCCGTCATCAGGAGCTCCATTGTTCTTCCAACAGCCGCCGATATCTAGCCAGAACTATAGTAGCATATAGGAGAAAACAAAAGTAATTAAGAGCATCAACAATTAAGAATTATTTTCTGTGAATAGAAAAATAAGTACCTTGTCATATTATTTCTACATTAAAATTAATTCTAATTTTGTAACACTATCAAAAATTTAAAAATAGATAACTAAAAAAAAAATTGAGAAAACTATTTATAATTTTGAGCATTCTCCGTATCATATAATGGTATCCTCCAGAAAATCTGCTGGTTGCGTCAACTCTAAGATATAACATCAACCAAAGGTATTTTGCCGAAGTTCTAAGCTCATGCTTAAACACCCAACTCCCAGTTCCAATTTTCTTCTCTCAGATTACTT